ACGCCCTCTACGCTGTAATAGGCGTGTCTAATTTTTGTCACGTGTTATTGTGTTGTAGAAATCAGAGTGGATGACTACCACGTGTAACCACGCCCTGTACGCAGTCGTAGACGTTTTTACGCAGTACTTCGAAGAGCTATCGGATGTACTACTGGATGACATGTTTTCTCATCTTCTTTGGTGTGTCCAACAAGGTAAGAGTTCAATCGACTTGTGCCGATTTGTAGAGGTAAATCTCATCTGTTCGCCGGTCACGCTCTTATCTCATTGATATCCGGCAACCGATTCGCTATAGAGGCTTTGCACCATCACATGCYGGCAGCCATAATACAGCTTGGACTGSCTGTGGTTAGATGGCAGAACAGTAAAATCTCTTTACTCTCGGGAATCGAATTCTTACTTATGTAAAACGATTGTATTGCTCCTGTTATCTAACRTGGCTGCCGTCACGTGATGGTGCAAAGCCTACGTTACGACATTTTTGAGTTTCGAAGTATGATGGAGTCTCTCTACAAAAACATTGCGCTCCATATTTTGAAGAGTATGAGGAAGCAAGCACCCTTCCCCGCCCACTTTATTTTCTCGACATAACATAATTATTGTAATTATTATTGTAATTATTTTATTTCAAAATATTTTTTAAACCACATATCAATCTATCAGGATAACATCAAATGTAGTTCAAATAGAGACGCGTCACGTCAGATATTTGTTTAGTTTTGTACAATCTCTTTCCAAGTTCATTCAAATCATTAAAAGGTTTGTGAAGGACGAAATCATTTTTAAAGGTACTTAGAAGACCTGCTTTTGACCTCAGAATCTGTAGTMCAAAATCACAAGTAAAAAGTAGATATTTAGTTTAAATTTACCAACTGCACTTGTTCTTCCTCTTCTTCTTTTTCTGTKGCCGTTTCCAACGTCCATTATTCCCTYTGTTTTGTGTTTTACTYKGYTGCTGTGTTTCGTCACCGAAYATTTCCTTTAGGAATTCCTCTTGTTGTCTGTGGAKGATTMAACAAGAATCACYAGTAAACATTATTGTCCACTTTGATAACTTTTCACCTAGCAGATTCCCATACGTTTGGTTTACCTACCTTTTATTTGGCCTCCTTTCAAAATATMTGACGGTAAAATAAAAGGCAATCAAAACTGTAATAATGTAGGCGGTGACGGGAGTATAGAGAATCAGAATGATCTTGGTTGTCTCTTGCTGTAAGTACGAGGCCCATTCTTGTGTTTTTGTAATGAGAGCAGATATGGCATATTTTAATTTGATGGCAGTGACAGAAGGTGTAGRATTAGCAGCATATAACATGGCATCGATTTGTCCGTACGACAGCTTCCATTCTTCTCTCCCTGAACTTCTCCTACTAGAATTAGATTTAACATTCCTAGGAACATAGATTATCGTGTGTATTGAGTCGCGTCTTTTGGGCTTGTGTTGTGTGGCTTCATCACTAGTGGWTTTACGAGGTGTTGTAGAGTCAACTGTTCTTCGTTGTGGTTGAGCCCTGTCATGTGATGCGGGTTTTTTCTGGCCATGATCAAAATCATAGTCACCATGTGAAGCGGTAAATTCTGTGCTTGGTAGTAAGCGGCTCGTGTCTGCTAAGAAATAACAATGCAAAARTCTGTGTCAGAATGAAAGCAAAAGGACTTGAGCAAAAGTAACTGCTTTCTAGATGTGATTCAGTACGCCTAGTAAAGGATGAGATGTTAGTCGAAGGATGGGGGAAGGATGGGATCTTGATGTAGGTCTGTATCAACACGGGYTACCTCACCAGAGACACCTGTTACAGGGCTGTAACCGCTGCGCTGAGTCAAGTTATAWGAATGAAAACCTTTACAGAAAATACAAAAAGCTAGTTGTTCAATAAGTTGAGGAATAAATAGGAAAACAAGGGGCCTTTCTTAGCTCCTTCTTCAAGCGGGTCCTACAGGAAAGTGGTTGTCTTTTTGTACTAAAAACCAATCTTACATTTACCATGATGTAGTTGCATGTCATCTACAGCACCAAGGGTCTTCTTGTCATGCTTTTGGTCATCGTCCAGGGCCAACTCGATTTTATCAGCAGAGACAACAGGTGTTGCAGTTGATGACAAGTGCATGTCAGTTACAGCACCAACGGTCTTCTTGCCATCATGATGTTCTTGATCATCGTCCAGGGCCAACTCGATTTTATCAGCAGAGACAACAGGTGTTGCAGWTGATGACAAGYGCATGTCATCTACAGCACCAAGGGTCTTCTCGTCATGCTTTTGATCATCGTCCAGGGYCAACTCAATCATATTAGCAGAGACCTTAGCAGAGACCTYAGCAGAGACCTTAGYTGTTGCAKGTTCAGTACTGTTATAACGAGTGTCATTGTACAAGTGCTTGTCTTGTACGCCTGCTGGAAGATGGAGAAGAAGTATGAATAAAAACTGTAAGAGTATTTGATGAGACCACATACTATAACACGGCTGATGAATARAAACAAGAAAACTCCCCGAAGTTCTTCCAACAAGTTGGATGGAAGAATATTAATAACCAGCAACAGTCTTTTTATTTACAGCTGTATGTGTCAACTAGTGTTGGAAGGATGTTGTATATGAAC